ATGTTCTCACTTGTAGAAAAACTTAAAAGGGGGGAGGGGATTTACGTGTACGCATGCACAAGCACAGAGTAGTTTTTAAAGATACACAAGAAAGGACACTTCTTTGCAGGTAGAAGGCTAGGAAGGTGCTGGGTGTGGAAGTCTGGGATGCACTCTCTAAACTGTTGAGTCTTTCTTGTTGCACACTTTTTTATGCCACAGCACCTAGGGGTGAGCTCTGGCATGCAGGGCTGGCTGGAGCAGGAACAACGCATCTTTTAAAAGGTTTCTGCAGAGGCAAGACAGAACAGTGCAAAAAGTTTTCAAACAGTGAGGAAGCAGGAAAACAATCTGGTGAATCACAGCTAGCTTTCTTTTTTCTTTTTTTCTTTTTTTCAGTAAGAAGTAGGTCAGAAAATTACCAAGTGCATTGCAAGGAATAAGGATAAAGGTTATTTGTGAATCTTCTGTTTTAGGTCTACTCTGAGTGTGAGGGCTCACAACAGAAAACAAACTTTCCTTTTTACTGTGGATCAAAGTAAAAGAAACCTACACAATCCTCGTGGTAGGAAAGAATGTAGACTCTCAGGCAGACCACCTAGATTTCAAGCCTGGCTTGGTACTAAGCTGTGTGACCCTGCACAGGCTACTTAAGCTCTCTGTGCCTCCACTTCCTGTCCTGTAAATGGAAATGATAAAAAGACATGCTTCTTACGTTGTGCTGTGTAACTGCAGGCTTCCAAGATGTCCCCAGTAACTCTTGTTTGCCTTGTGTGATGCCCTCCCACACTGAATGAGGGTTAGTGTGAGTCCAATGGAATGAAAGATGTGACTGTGTGATCTGGGGCAGGGTCATCAGAGACACTGCAGCTCCCACTTGATCTTGCTGTGGGATGCTCATTCCTGGCTGAGGTGTACCCGGCACCTGTGTTAGTCACTGCCCATCCCAGGCCCTACAGCACACCCGTAGGATGAAGATCTAAGTCCAACAGCTGAGGTTGCGCCTGGCTCCCATGCCAGCAACTGAGGCTTCCTTCCCTTCCCTTCCATTCTAACTTATCATTTGCCTGCCTCCTAAAATGGCTCAAGAGGGGCAAAGTGGAGCACGGTAGCACTCTGATACAATACAGCAGACATATTAAAAACCTGTTTCAAATTCGTTCCTGAAACCAATTAGGAGCACCTGGCAACTAGAGCTCCAACTACATGTCAAGAATCTTACTAATACATATTAACCACCTCTTACAATTTACCAAAAACCATGTGATACACATTCCACCCACTCATCTGATGAGGAGGTACAGATAAAATCATGAATAGCAGATTTGAAAGGCGTTAGCTGAGTTCTTGTGTTTTGCAGAAATCGATTAACTACTGAACAGGGGAGACGCCACTAGGAGAAGGAGCCAAAAACACTCTAAATTCCACATTTAGGGAATACTTGTAATCCCTTAGGTTCTGAGTTGAACTTTTCCTATGTCAGTGAAGAGACATCTTGTTGTCCATTCCTTCCTGTTTCATCTGCTGCCAAGTCCCATTTAGACTCCAATTGTAAAAGAAAAACTTCTTAAAAAGTATACTGACAGAGATTACTAAACAATACCTAAGTTTAATAAAATGTGCACGAAGCCCACAATGATTCACTTGAGCTTGCTTTCAGAAGCTAAAACACCAAGCTCAATGGCTTTCATTAGGGGTGGGAGTTCCTGAACCTCGCCAGTTTGATGAAGAAGCCCCTGCTGCCTGAGCATCCTTTTCCCGAGCAAGTCTCACCTCCCGGTTATCTAGATTTACAGTTAGCTTACACCATGACCAGTTTGGACCAGCTCCCCCTGAGGTCAGCAAGGTCTTTAGGCTTATCCAATGAGTCCAGTGTCTTGAAACTGAAAACCGGCTGAACAGGACAGTAACCGCATACACCTCTCAGGAATTCACTGGGTTTTGGCCCAGATAGTCAAACCCAGAATGGAGACAGGGCAGCAACCAGATGGGTCATGCCACCATCAGACTCAGGTCTGCTTACAGGAAGTGGGGAGAAAGTCAGCCTCATAGCAGGAGTAACAAGTCAGAGCAGACGTGAGCAGCAAGCTCTCCATCACTGGGTGTTGGTTGGAACCACAGAGCAGCATTTGGTGAAGAAAAACCAAGAAAGTGGGAAAAGGAGGGAGGGAGAGGGAGCCATTGTCTAACTCTTCTCTGCATCTGACATTTCCCTGCTGAGCCAGGGCGTCAGGCTGGGCCCCAAAAATCCAGGACAAAGACACAAGATTAGAGGGATGGCAGAGCCAGAATGCCTCAGAGACCCTGCTCAGCCCTGCAGAGAATCCTGAAGGGAAAGGGAGCCAGAGGCCAGGGCCCTGGTCATAATCAACCCTGCATTTGTCCCCCACAGGTGTCACTGGATTTCTAGGAGCCCGGAGGAGGGGGTAGGGGATGAGCAGCTCCTAATGCCCCCCCCCCCATCAATCATTCTACATTGCAATTTCCCTACACCCTGGCCAAGGACGACCTGCCAAACAAGGACAGCAAGAGAGAAGTGACTTCTCCCTCAGTCTCTTCTCCCTTCTGGCTAGTGCCACAAAGAAAACAGACGGCAGATGCCCAACGAACACACTTACCACACAAGTTGGTCTCAATGAGCTCGCCTCGGAAGAGTCCTGGCACAGGCTGGGCCCTCTTGGGGCACCCGAGCTGAAAGACCAATGCCATGTGCACACAGAAACCCCACAGGCAGCTCAGAGAGAAGGGAGATCCTCCATAGAGCCTGCCTGGCACACCACTGTTCTGCACTTTCCTCAGCAGTTTTCTGCGTCTGCTTGTTGGGGCAAAGTCGAGGGCTGTGAGCTGCCCTGAACGCACACTGGGTTACGTAACTCCAGAAGCCCAGAACCCTATCACCTCATCTTATTAAACTGCCCCAAACAGAAAATGACGCACCCAAAAACATGACACCTCTAGACTTGGTGGGGGTGGGGGGTGTACAGGGAGAGAAGGGCTTTGTGATGGGTGTTTTGTTTTGCCTCATGCTTAAAGTGGAACAAAAAGTGTGCTGTTCTTGCCTGGGCTCCTGGGGAACTGGAGGTGGAGAGTATTTGAAGGAGGCTGGATGCCAGGCACTGTCCCGGGACTGCCCTTGGCAGAGCCCCAATCGGCAGATGTGTACTCTGGGCTACTGCAGGGCTCCCAAGAGCATCTTTTCTTTCATGTCTTCCTTTCAACGACCACCAGGTACGGCTCTAATCTAATAGGTCATGTACCCGTTGCCCGCCCAGCACAAAGCATACACAAAGCCTGCACTTGCTTGCACTTCTGTTTAACAAGCCACCGCCCAACAGGACAGAACTGAGCTGTGTGTCTTGGAGGTCAGGGTTGCTACAGACATCCCAGTGAAAAGCCTCCAGTCACCACGCCCTAAGGGGTTGGAAGTTCTAGCACTGCATTCTGCCATTGCTTTGCCCTCGGTTGTCACGTTCAGAGAAAGTGAAACTGGTTTAACAGGCTGGGTGCTCCCTGGAGTTCATGGGTGCAGACAGTGCCGGCTGGAATTCCAGCTCCCATGTTTAACAAATGAAAATATAGCTGGGACACCATCTCCCCCAGGAAGCCTCCTGGTCCCCATCCTTCCCCCTCTACTCCCGGACCCTTCTCAAAGCGCCCACACCCCCCCGCCGCCCCATATGCCTACGTTTGTCACTGTGCCAACTGTGGTGTACAGAGTACTTCCACATGCTCATCCATCTCCTCAACAAGCCTGCGTTCCTAGGGGCAGAGAACACATGAGCTATAATCCCAAAGACCTAGATGCAACTCCTGCCACTCGGGGTTCAGGGATTTTACTCAAAGTGCTGAAACTTTGGGGATTTAGCCTAATGACCTGCAAAAAGGGGCTACTTCATGGACTGCAGTCATAATTCACTGACACGATTCATTCCCCCAATGGACAGCGACTGAGCACCAGGCACACACAGATGCTATTTCAATCACTGGGACTGCATGGGCACACAGAGCAGACAAGGTCTGTGCCCTCGAGGGCAAGTTTGGCAGACAAAATACAACACATAGTGGTAATTCAAAGAACAGTTAAGTCTGGGGAGAAAAATGAAGCAGGAAATGGGGACAAGGAAAGAGGGGTGTCACACCTCACAGGGGATCACAAAAGTCATCTAAGGAAACGTCGCTTGGAGAAGGGGATGAGGTCATGAGGACACCAGAGGTGGAGGTGATCCAGGTGGGGAGCAGAAGCAAGAGCAAAGGCCCTAAGGCTGGGCGCACACATGTATTCAAGGACTCACAAGGAGGCCAGTGTGCCTGGAGTGGAGTAATTACAGAGGACACAGGTCAGAGGAGCACAGGAAACCCCATTCTCAGACCCAAAGGTGGGAGCCCACTGGAGTTTTGGAGGAAAACTAGACCATTGACTTTGAATTAAAAACCAACTCTGGTGGCTAGGAGAACAGACTGCAGAGGCAAAGGCAGCAGCACAGGCCCAGCTGGTAGGCCACTGCCATATTCCAGGTGTGAGGTGAACATGGCCTGGACCAAGTGAGAGCTATGAGAAAAGCAGTCAAACTGTGACAAGAGACAGAGCTGACAGACTGTCAAAGAAAGCAAAGTCATAAATGCCTCCGTAGGATTTGGCCTGGGCCAGTGGAATGGCACAAGTGCCATGTAGAAAGAGAGGGACATCAGGGGCCATCTTTGACCACGTGATCTGACATGCGTGTTAGGCATCCAAGTGGAACGCACATGGAGTGAGACTGCATGCCTGGCCTTCAGAATTGAAGGCCCATGCTGAGGACAAAACCAGAGTTTACAGGGTGGATCCTAAAGCTCAGACATTGGAGGTCACTTGGTGTGTGGGTGGTCACAGGGGGGTGGGAGGGAAGGGCTGGGCCCTGGGCCCATCATTGTGCCAGGCTTCAGAGAAGAGAAGCAGGAGCCACTGAGGCAGAGGACCTGGAGAGTAGAGGACCAAAAGCCAAATATAGCTCACACTTCCAGGGGGAGGACATGGTCAGAAGTGTTGTTTGCTGCAAAATGGAGTCAAAGACTGAGGACGGACCCCAGGAATGGGCAGAACAGTCAGTGCACCTGCAGGGGACTTGGGAGAGAGGAAGAGAAGACAAACTTGGGTCTAGAAACTGAGGTGCGGGAAACGTGGGGCCAAGAAGACTCTATTTAAGAAGGGACACACCACAGCACCTCTGCATCAGGAGTGAGGGAGCTCACGATATAGCAGAAAGAAGTGGGTACTGGCACAGAGGTTGTTCTTCAGGTAGCTGGAAAGCAGGAGTAGGGCTTGGTGCACAGGGCGGACAGCACATGTAGGCAAACAAGGCAGCAGCAAGGAAGAGTAAGGCACCAGGCTGGAACTCCAGCCTTCTCTAGGCCCCTCTGAAGCAGGGAAACTCCTGCCACACAGGAGGTCCTTGGTGCCTATCTCAAAAGCAATGACAAGCTACTGTTATTAGCTTGTCATTTTTAATGATTGCAAAGGTGCATATTAATGTGTCATACTGCATTGTTTCAAATAGGAAGACAAAAGCAAGAATCAAGGACAAAATAAAATCTAGAGCAAACTTCTTTCTGAACGCAGTGGGATAAAACTGTGATGCCGTCACTTGGTGAGGTTATAGCTGCCATCCCATGTTACCATTCACAGCCCCCTCCTGGTGCTGGCTCCAAGGACTTTTGTCAACATTCCCATGGGTAACAGAAACGAGCTCTGGAACAAAGTATCTACTTTAGAGGTATCACCAGTGGCCTGGGACCCTTGGAGCTGTGCCTGGGAAGGGATGGCTGTAAGTCCTAAAGGCACAGCCAGTGCTGCCTGCAGTGCTCGGTTCTCCACCCCACCATAACGCTGATGTCACTTCTACCACACCTATCTAACTGAGTCTCAGAGATAAAGAGGCCAAGTCACACTGAGCATGCACAGCGGGCCATGTGTGCTACACAGTGTACAACATTACTGTCTTTGACCTCTGTGACAACTCTGAGTGCTGGCAAAGCAGGTTCTAAATGGGAGCTCCATGACCCCTAAGCCTTCCGTGGGCTGGCTCCTGCAGCTGGGTCTCTTCCCCAGTCTTCACCCATCCCTGGCAGGGAAGGGCCAGACCATACCGGTAATGGTGCAGGCATCCCGGTACCCTCTGGAGCTGGGAGCATCTTCCACAGCCTCACTCACGTAGTGCTCTTCAGGGATGCCCGGGCTGCAGGCTAGGACTGCATGGTCACACGCTGCCAAAGGGGTCACGGAGCTGGCCGAAGTGTCGTCGAGCAGAGCTGTGGCGTCCAGCTTGACAGGTTTCAGAGGGAGGTGCCCACTGCCATCGGGGGCCCCACTGCCGGAGTCTGGGGCAGTCGGGCAGGTGGGCCCCGGTTCTGGTGCTGCAGCAGCGGCAGTACACGTGCACAGGGAATCTACAGAACAATCCAGAGAGAAGGGCACAGTTACTTGGAGTCCCTGAGGTGGCCTGGACAAGATCTTTAGGGCGTAAGATGGCATGGGTTCAGGTTGTAGATTCTGAAGTGCTTCCTGCAGGTCAAAGCATCTACACTCACATTCTGCAACTTGGATCAAAAGACTGCAGCAAAGATGAACAGAAATTCAGCTAAGCAGGCCTCAATACAGACCAAAATACCGACACAACACATGCTGTCACATGCTTACTGAAATCTGCCCTAAACAGCACTGAGAAAACAACAGGAACATAGCTAGAAATGATGACACAGAACCCAAAACAAGGACACCCAGGCACCTGGCAACCAAGCCACCTGCGTGGGAAGAGCTGCATGCACTCCAAGGAAGACACAAGTGCATGGAATTACTGCTGCAGGAATCACAGACATGGAGAGGCAGCACTGTGAGCTGCAGGTTGAATTATATAAGACGTGTTTCTCTTAAACTCTCCCACCCGTGACACATTCTCCACTCTGTAAGAACTTTAAGGTGTGCCCCACCTTAAGCTACAGTGAGACATGATAGAACTTCTTTGAGAACCTGATGGGAACTACAGACCTTATTCCAAAACACACATGTGGTTTCAGGAAACTCAGGCCACTCACAGGCTCTCGGGGAGCCAAGGAGAACAGGTTAAGACCCCTGGGACCAACAGGTCCGCTCTCTCCAGGGGGCACTGTAGCAACATCGGCCTAACCAGGTGATAATACCTCCATCTAAAATCTGTCTGGGGCTGGGCACGGTGGCGCACAGCTGTAATGTAGTCCCAGTTGGCAGAAGGGATAGGTAGAAGTATCATGGCCCCAGGCAAAAGTTAGTGACATCTATCTCAAAACCAAGATGGTGTGGTGGTACAACTCGTAATGCCAGCTATTTGGGAGGCAGAGGTAGGAAGATTGAATCTGAGGCCAGCCGAGAAAAAAAAGCACAAAGCCCTATCTGAAGAATAAACTAAAGCAAAGAGGCCCCCCACCAGGTGGGGGGAGGGCCTCAAGTGGTAGAGCAAGTACAAGGCCCTGAATTCAAAGCGAAAAATATTAAAATCTGCTTGAGACTGAAAATTACCAGAAAAGGGTCAGGAGATACTGAGGACTCACTCTGCTCCAGTAAGAGTGACCCTGTGTGCCTCGATTTCACCACACATTTCAGGACAGTACTGCTGCCACAGAAGCCAGCCTTCAGTTCCTCAACTGCCCTCCCCTCCCAGTCCACTTCTGTGCCATCACGCCCAGAAGTTTTATTTCAATTTGTTTTAATTTCAAATACAATACATATGAATCAACATAATGCCTGAGGAAAAAACAACACGTAATTAAGGCCCACTACTCTAATAAATGATAAACCATGGTTGTTTTGGGTGTTTGTTTTTGGTGGAACTGGGGTTTAAACTTAGTGCTTCATACTTACTAGGCAGGCAAGCTGTCACTTGAACCACACCTCCAGCCCGCTCTGCTCTGGTTATTTTGGAGATGGGAGTCTCAACTTTTGCTCAGCCTGGATGGTAATCCTATTTTACACCTTTGTTGGGGTAACAGATGTGCACCACCACACCCAGGGTTTTTTCCTCTGAGATGAGGTCTCTTGAACTCTTGCCCACGCTGGCCTCAAACAATGATCCTCTCAAGCTCACCCTCCCACTAGTTAGGATTACGGGTGTGAGCCACCAGCACCTGGTTCCATAGTTCACTTTTTAAAAAGGACAGTTAACAGACATTTTACCCCACAAGGTGCAGTTTGTTCTGGAAGAGAACAGCTCTGAATCTGTGAAATGTTCCCTTTTCTAAATGAATTCAGCTTGAGTGACCAACTTTCTGCCCTCATTAAAATGGACAGATAAGTAAAGAAATGGGAATGGGCTGGGGAAGCTTATAAACGCCTATGAAAGGAGAAAGAGAACAAGAGAGGCTTGGAACCTTCAGGAATTTCTGCATGACAACATGCAAATCAAACTACGGTCACATCTGGCCAATGATGCAAGTACAGACAAATGGACAGCAGCCTAAAAGCCCACACCATTCTGGCAGCACAGACCTGCCACAGTCACTACTGGGGTCAAGAACCAGAACGGGAATTCTCAGGACAAGGTGAAAGGAAGCTGGGCACTGTCACAGCCTGTCTCTCGCAGGCCCCAGGGGCTCCTCCTCCCAAGTCAGTAGGTCTAGATTCCTGGTCTGGGCACTGACTTGTTAACTATAGCCAGTGTGTGAAAATCTATGGGCTGCACTACGACGATCTACACACTATTTTGTGTGTATCTTTCAACAAAGTGAAGAAAAGATTGATGAATGCAGGCGTCCCTGCATTAACTTGAGAACTGTGCATTAACTTGAGAAGTCCCCACAAATATTAAAAAGGTACACTGAGGAAAGTTCCAGAAAAAACAATAAAGGTGTGAGACTGAAGGGAACAAGGTAGCTAGGCACAGTAGCTCATACCTATTAATCCCAGCTACTCATGAGGCAGAGCTCAGGAAGATCCCAGTTCACGGCCAGCCCAGGCAAAATGTTATAGAGACCCCATCTCAACAAACAGGAGGAATGGTAGCCATAAACCTGTAATCTAAGCTATAAAAGAGGCACAGGTCAGAAGGATTTTGGTCCAAGACCAGGCCTAAGCAAAAACACAATCCCTATCTAAAAATTAACCAAAGTAAAAAAGGCTGGGGTGTGGCTCAAGTGGTACAGCATTGGCCAAGCAAGCAGGAGACCCTGAGTTCAAACCCCAGTACTGCAATAAATACATACATACATAAGTGTATGTGTGTTTATATACATATATAAAAACAGACTGATGTTTCAATGATTTTCTAGAGCTGAAGACTTACACTTTTAAATCAAAAGATTTTACACTAATTTCCAGACAAAGTTCATGAAAAGAAATACCCTCCCAGATATAATCTAGTGAACATTTTAAATTACAAAGATACAGATAAAAATGTAACAAACAGGAAGATCAGGGATAGAAAGTCACCTCTGCATCTCCATATACCAGTGGGCAGTGGAGTCAGTTCATAGAATCCTCAGTGAAGGACAGTCATGTGGAATCCTGTGCCCAATGAAGCTGCTATGACAGGCAAAGGCAGCAGGAAGGCGCTGTCCGAGTCATAGAAACGCCTGAGGACCTGCAGATGTGATGAGCACATCTCAGGGGCTCTCACTAACAGATCAACACAGAACTCTAAAGTGAGGGCAAAACGCACTCACGGTTAAACCCTAGCACTTACAATTAATGTCTAAGTAAGTGCACATGATTCATAAGCTCAAAAAACCACAAGCAAAGGATATTAAAAAAACTCTCTCCTTGGACTGGAGGTGTGGCTCAAGCCATAGAACGCCTGACTTAGCAAGCAGGAGACCCTGAGTTCAAACCCCAGTCTCACCAAAAAAAAGATGATTAAAAAAACTCTCTTTCAGCCAGGCACTGGTGGCTCACACCTGTAATCGGGAGGCAGAGATCAGGAGGATCATGGTCCAAGGTCAACCTGGGCAAAACAGTTCTTGAGACTCTACCTCAAAAATATCCAAATACAGGGCTAGTGGAGTAGCTCAAGTGGTAAAAGTGCCTGCCTAGCAAGTGGGAGGCCTTGAGTTCAAACTCCAGTACCGACTCTCCCCAATAAATCCTCCCTCTCAAAAGAACCCATACACGCACACCAGAACACTTTAAGAAATGATTTTTAAAAATATATCAGACCAAAAATGATGAAAAGGTTGTAACAATGTTGAACTTGCTAAGTATCTTAGGAAACTCACAGCCATGATGTATTGAAGTATGGTGAGGAAATGATACAGTTTTTTCAGAGGGACAGGCTGGCAAAAAGTACATGCTTCTTTGGCCAAGTACGCATGGATCAAAGACTTGGGCTGGTGGTCCAACTGGTCCAAACTGGTGTGGTTTATGCAGTAGGATGCCTGACTAGCAACCAGGAGACTCTGAGGTCAAATCCCAGAAACCACAAAAAAAAAACTATCATAGAGAAATGCTACAAACAACCTACCCTTAACAGAGGTCAAGTTATTAACTATGGTACAGCCAAAGGGAAGTCAGCTATACCAAGAAAGGACGCTTTGGAGAAGGTAGGAATTTATCAACGAGGGAGCTGTCCTAGACAGAAAGACAGCAGATGATGACATGAACTGCAAGGTTTTAAAATGTATTAGAAAACTGAACCTTCACGCAAACCTTCTTTAGCCTGTATTCAACACTTTTTATATGATCTTACATAGAAATTTGAAATACATTACCTTTTTGCAAAATGTAATTATTCCACTGAAAATTAAGTTTTGCTTAAAATCAATGTGGTGGTGTTGTTTAACAAAGTTTCGCTTTTTTTGTAAAACGGGAGAGTTTATTGAGATAGAAAAGTGTAAAGTGGGAGAGCAGAACTCCCAGAGTTGAGGGGGTTCCAAGAGAGGTGCCCCTTAACAGAGGATCTAAAACAAAGGTTTCTTCGTGGGGACTTAAGGGAGGGTCACATAACTCCCATTTTCCTCTCTGTTAAATGAGCGGATAGCTTGAATCCTGATCAATAACTCCTAAGTCACTGATTTTCCTCCTAGTGTCTTTGTTTCCATTTAGAGCTGACATACTTGACCTGAAAACCAAGGCTATCAAGTGAATGTTACAAGAGAGTATAATAAACACTTTCAGAAAAAAACAAAACTGTAAAGACATCAGCTAGTGCTCACTGGAGCTTCCAAAGGGAACACTAGCAACAGCTGTGGACTCCCAAAAGCACATTCTACTGCAGCAATCTGCAAAGCTTCTAGAAGTGAAAAGACCAAGCTCTCTCACCAAATAATATCAAGCGAGGAATAACCTAAATTCCTATCAATAAAACAGTGGTAGGGCTGGAGATGTAGCTGTGTGACAGAGCACCAGCTTAGCATGCACAAAGGCCCTGGGTTCCATTCCACAAAAAAAAAAAAGAAAAACTAAAAAACACTGCATTAAAAAAAAA